AAAACTACGCGAATGAAAGTTCTGTCTGGATTACATTTCTTAAATGTTACAAATCCGATCTTCGAGATTAATGAAATTTCCAAAACGACAATAGCACTGTACTATCTCACGCACGGAACTACTAGTGAACTTCGGTTATGTCCGACTGATCGATTTTCGCATTCATCGGCAGCGGCGATACGTCAATGGTTAACGATGTATTGGCTATACAGTCAATCCCAAAAGTTTATGTACCTTAGAAAAACGTATTTCCTATAATTAAACAGATATCAGACGTCGGAAGAATAATGCTAATAATAAATAGCTACGTGCTAAAAAGTATAAAAGGAAATATTCAGTTAATTATTGACGCTGTCGGAAAGCTTTTTATACAGAAATTATAAGCCCTGACGNTTAGCAATGTTCTTCCGGCGTCTGATTTCTTTTTAAAAAATGCGTTTCTAAAGTGCATAAACTTTTGGGATTAACTGTATAGCCAATACATCCTTAATTGCCAGCAGTGGATTTAACACCGGTTCTGAATCTGCGGCTCTGATGAAAATATAAATAGAGCTCGAATGCGTTACCGTGGGAGAGAGGGATCCAGGTGAAATAAATATGTCGACGATCTTGTCTTCTCGTCGGGCAACAGGACGGTTTCGAGAAAGCCAGGAAGCCTGAATAGTGGAAGGAAGATCCTTTAGACGGTAATTAACAAGGTACACACCGAAGGTCGGGGCGAGCACTAATTAACGCTAACCAGGACGCTTTAGAGCCGGTTGATCCGGCGCTAGGTGAAGATACCGAGAAAGAGGACTCCAACTCTATTAAATAACCAGTCGACAGTAATTAGTCGTTAATTACGATACGCTATCAGAGCGGTGGATTGTTCCGCAGGATGGAGACTGATCCGAGAAGCTTATGGTTTTCCGTTCTTCCTACTATATTACACGCCGAGATATGCGATAAAAGGATTGCCGTTCTTTACACCTCCAACAAGAATCATGACAAGTAGTAAGCTTCATCATGTATTAATGTATTTCCGAATCCAGTTAGTCAAAACATTCAAATGAGATTTACCAAAATGTATCAATAATTATTCATGTTATATTTGTACGTCACTGATCGTACCTCTTATATTGTTAGACAATTTTAATGTACCACGGTTCTTGTACCAACCTTAGACCCAACTGTAAACGTGCGAACGTAGACGTCGCTTTCAACGCGGAAACCAGAACCGGAGCGAATCGTTTGATCGGCAGTTTGGGTAATCGGCGTTGTTCGATTGGACGCGGTATTGAAAACGAAAATTGAATGAAATCCCGTATCGACGATAGTCGATCAGATAATCGTTGTTTCGTGATTTCCCCGGGTAATTGAATGCATGGTAATCGATCAACCGAGCGATCTAATCGTCGAACATGACACTTTATTATAGTAGATGATAGACATTGAACACTTGAAAATTAGTAGAAAGATTGCCCATCGAAGAATCGTTATTCATCATTGCGCTGTACTTGTCGATAGGGACAAATTGATTTTTAAAGAGATGTACGTTATAGATAGACTCCAGACTTTCATACGAAATAAAACATACAGAAAATGAAATGTAACTTGAGATTTCTTTTACCCTTCAACAGTAATGCGTACCTCTGCAGATTGCATCCAATTATTTTTTTACTTCTCAACAAATTGTTCTATAAATGCATAAAATCTACTGTAATCGTGGGAATGCGTTTAAACTGTTGAAAAAGGCAACTCGTCAGGCGTTTACAGCGAGTCCCGCAGGGTGGTTCGCAGAAAGCTTAGGTGTACCCGGGTAATAAATCGCGCAGCGGCGCGTAAGTAAGACAAACGCATAATAAACAACCGGTGATCGCGGGCAACGTAATGGCGCGACGTACGGTCGGTGAAGTTTAAAGTGAAAACTCGGATCGATGCGCCGGGCAATAACTCAGGGGAACAACCTTTCGCTAGAGAGGCTGCGAGTAGTATGCGCTGGCGGACAGACAGCGTCTCGTTTTCTAGGAAGCGATATATACGAGCATCGTGACATCTGGGAAATATTAACATCCAAATCTGCCGCTACCAGAGAGGAGCAGCCGAGGCCCGGATAATTTCGCCCGTGTTTGATGAAGAATTATCGTCCCTCGTTTGAAGTGTATATTTAAACCGAATGAGACCGCGCGGCCAATCGAGCAAACATATAAATCGTCGATAAATCAACGATCGCGACGATATTTTCTCAGCTGGTTCGAACCACGGGCACCGATGTGCTTTTAACCTCCCCAGTTCACTGATTTCATCGCAAACGTACACTACCAACGGTCGAGATAATGTAGCACGCGAAATCAAGTGAACAGTAAGCGTACTTAAATATAAATTCAAGCTTGTTGCAATTTCGACGACAGCCTCGGGTACAAATTTTACAAGCGAGACGTTCAAATAATGTCTGAAATTGTAACTTCAGCATGGCAATAAAAATGAATAAACAGTCGCGATACGCCGTTTGAACCTGAGAATAAGCTTCTAATAATATCGGGTGATAAACAAGATGCGTTGAGCATCGTACTGCGATTCTGAGTTCTGCTACAATGTAACGGATGAACAGATAAATTGCCGACATTCTTCACAATTAATTGCACGTATAACTGCAAGTACACAGTAGAGAGGACACGTGAGCTGAAATAAATTTTACGCTAATGGACTAGATGAGATACCTAGCGTCAACTTTGTCATTACAAACACGCATAAATAGCTTGCGTTAGGGGCTGTTTGTCTATCGTTTGTGGTGTCTGTTTGTAAATTAAAAATAGGTACTCGTGCAGTTGCATGTGGTCCTTCGGGTAAAAGTGAGCATAAATCGATTAAAAGAAATAAGCCAAGATTATACAGAAAATATTTCATGCTACTTTAATTCCTTCAGTTTATCTCTACGATTGAATCGAATTTTTTCCGTCGACGTTAAACGTGTGTGTATTCACTGTAAACTATCAACATAAATTTGCACCGTTGAAAGTAGTTTACCGCGTCCAGTAAATTAACATCCAGCCTACAGTGGGAAAAATCTCAGTGTAGCCTCGAAAGTATAAATCTTTCGTAACGACGAGCTTAAATAATTTCGCGTACCCTCGCCCGCTAATGGATTCAGTCTAAGCTGCCGGAGAAGATTTCGGAGAATCGCATCGAAGTGCTCGCGAGACCCATCCGCGGAGATAAAAAGTGGGGGGCTACCACTCGAGAGCGCAACGGATACTTGTATACCGGCTCGCGGAAAATTATACGTCCCTCAAATTATTCGCCAAGAAACGAGGAGAATCGAACGAGGCAGCCTGAGATCCATCATCCCGGGTTTCCGCGAGAAATTTCACGCCGGACGAACTCTCGTCCTCCTCGCCCTCTCCTTTCCCTCGCGTTCATCTCGTTCCGGACGCCGCATTCTCTTTGCCTACACTTCGCGGTTTCCCTCCCTCGGCTTCGCGTGCAGCGCCAGAAAGAATTCGAGATTTACAACGTGGCCTGATACACTCGCAACGAGAGGACCATACATCATCCAAAGCCGTCCGGAATTTATCCTACAGCCGAGTTAACGCGCACGAAGTATGTACACATCACCACCGCACCACGTTCCCCTCCGCTAAACTCGAGTACTTTGTTAGACAGACTGTCCGATGAATTATGAAACCTCAACTCTATCAGCGATGAACTTTCATCCTGTGCAACTTAATGGATAAGACTTTCAACAACACGTCTAAAAAGATTAGTAGACGTATTAAAAAAGAACTGCGATCTTAAATCACAGACCAACTGTCTGTTAACAGTAATTGATTTCAGATTGCAAGCTTCTTAATCCTTTATTACGTACACGAAACGTTTGTTAATAGCGAAACAAAGTGTAAATTTGATATCCCGATGACGTTTCGAGATTGCGAACTCCTTTAGCTTCGACCTGACTGAACTCGGTTCCGCTCACGAAACGAATGGCTAGAAGTATATTTTTAAGGGGGAAAAGAACGACGATGTGGGAATAATTCGAAGCGACACGGTTACAAAATTTCCGGAGCTGATCGCGGGGCGAGTTAACGAGAAACGCGATACTGGAGGAAATTATGAATTTACAATTCGTTCGGTATCTTTCTTCCTGCGATCCGATCGAAGATCGAAAGAGGGGAAAAAAACCGCAGTTACGATCACCAGCGCCCCGGGGCCGATCTTTATCCCTCGGGCATCGTCGTCGTCGTGTCGCATCGGCTGCCTACGCACGAACGTCCCCGGGTTGACGGACGTCTGAATGTGCATGCGCGCAGCTGCATTTCACGCGAGACACCCACCGGCAATTATGCGCACGGTGAAACGCTACGAGGGTGAAAAAGAAATCGCGAAAGAGCGTAAGTAGAAACCGCGCGGCTACCTACGATACACGCGCGCCCGGTATACGTGGAAAAGACCACGACGACTATTTGTCAACGGCTGAGAGACGGCGGATCTTGCCCACGGGCCTCTTCCACGGAGAAAAAGCGGGAGGACACGAGAAGGGAAGAAGAGGAGGACTCTTCCTCGTTCGAGCCAGGGGACGGGGCACGTTCTTCTTACGTGAGGATCGCTGGTACAAATCGTCGCGGTGAGATCAAAAACCGCCGTGCGTTCGCTTTCAGTGCCGACAACCGGGAGGCCAACAGATAATCCAACGTATAATTTCGTCACCGAGCAACGTTTGTTCAAAACCTATCTTCGATTCTCGTTGAAATATCACCGTATAAATCCAAACGTAAAAGGAGTGCGAAATAGTCACTCACAGTGAAATAAATCTGTTTCTATCGTAACGATTTTACAATGCAAAATCGTATAATTGCAGACATGATGCATCGATATAAAGAACGCATACGATACATGAAAAGAATGTGATTATTTTTAAA